CGGATCGGGCTGTCGGTGCCTGCGGCAGGGCGGCAATCACGGGTCACCTGCCCTGGGGTGAGAGCGGGGATGATGAGGGTGAAAGTGGTGAGGATGGAGGTAGGGGTGAGCGTGAAGACGATGGGCATGAGCTTGAGAATGGGGTAGGACGCTGCTGGGTATTCCCAGCATGGAGGGAAATGTGGCTAATCCAGGGCAGGCGTCTCACCACAATGCCCCCCACTCTCACCCACCCCCGGCGCCACACCACCCCGTCCCCATACAGCACAGACCCCACAGCTCCCCTGTTCTTTTCTATCGGAAGCTGCCCAGAAAATCGCCCGAAATGCGTTTACCCCGAGCAGGGACATCCCTCTTTCCTCCCTCAGCCCCTTTCCCAGCTTGTGCCAACACCCCCTCCCGGTACCGCATTGCGGAGCTGCCCGCTAACCCCGGCCGGACCAGGCGGGGGAGATGGGGGCACATCCCAGCCCTAGCGGGGCTCGACGTGTTTTGGGGGCAATAACAGGATCCCCACGGGGACCTCAGCTGTGCCTGTGCTGCGGGAGCGCTGCCGGTGGGTCCCTCCGTCCTCATCCTCGCTGTGTAGCGGCAGCGGATGGACAATTAGTTGTCGTGGCTTTTAAAATGGTGTAAATCGAGGTGTTTTCTGTCACAGGATTGGAGTGTGGGGCTGACCTCCCCCGCGGTGGCGGCTTTGCCCGCAGCGGGGATCAGCCCGACGCTCCACACCCGTGGGCAGGGTTTGGCGAGTTTGGATCAAGGCAGGGGTACACCCAGCCTTTTATTTCGTTTATTTCTCCTCCTTTGTTTCACAAAGAACAAAAACCCCGGGGTGCATCTGCCAACTCCCGTTCCTGTAGTCTGAGCACTACGAGGGAACGCAAAACTGTGAAGAGGGGGTGAAAGCAGCCCCGCCACCCCCAGCTGTAAGATGACCTCTTCCCAAAAAATGTCTCCTACCTCTTGCAAGCAGCTGAATGCCACCTTCTCTGGAAACCCGGCACTGCCTCCCTTAGCCCGAGGATATGTTGTAGCCCCGACAATGAGAGGATGAACCTCCCTCTGCCCCTGCCCTGCTCCTCCAAGCCCCCCACGAACCAGGCCAGCCTCATCATCTATGTTTTCTCTTTATTGTTCCATATATTTATGTACCACATTATATGTTAAAGATAGATTTTTTTTTTCTGATATACATTTTTCATCTTATTTACCACAATGACACCACACGTACATTGGAAACAGCTCCACGGATCTGGTAGATTGCACAGAATGAATTGTGTCGTAGTTTTGTTCCTGTAATCCCGAAACGACATCAAATCCAACCATATATTATTATTATTATTATTATATTATTTTTTAGCTTTTTATAATTTAGAAATAACAATTGTTAAAACAAAACGAAACATAAGTCACCGAGAAGTGGACTCCAGGGCTGCGATTTCAACCAGAGGCAGCACATTTGTGTTTGATGGGAAGCGCCGTTCCTCGGTGTGGATTGGGATGGAAGAATCGAGCAGTCCTGACATCTATCGTGACTACGGTGTAAACATTGCAGGTAAGCGGCATCACCGGTCATCAGACGCTGCTTGGGCTTGTTGGGCTGGTCGTACAATCTGGGTCTCGTCTACATCCATCTCTCAAAGTGTTAAAACAAAGGTCCCTGCTCCCGCCCCATTGGCGGGTTGGCTTCCCAATCCCGTGGGATCGGCACCTGTGTTTCAGCTCCTGAAACACTGATTTGCATATCTGTGAGGAGTGTTGAAAACTGCGACTGTTTCCCAACAGGCCGTTTGTGGGGGGCCAAGCTTCAGGCAACGAGTGAGGAGATAGGGGTGGGGCATCAGATAATTTCCTTCCAAAAAATCTAAATAACAAAAAAATAGATTTAAATCTGAGCTTATTTAAAAAGACACCAGGGTGAGCACTTTCATCTCTTCTTATTTTCCTTAGTTTGCAGATTCTATGACATAGAATTTGTTGGATGCACATAACGAAAATAATGACTCTTTCCATTAAAGGGATGCAGAATTATTTGGCTATGCGGATGTTCGATGCAATTCTCTTCCTGCACCCGACTCTGGCCCCTCCTTAGTCTTCAGCATTGGTTCTGAAAGCCTCTATGAGGCCTTCTAAAGAGTGGATGAACCCAGAGATGCTGCAGATACCGCCTATAACGAAAATGGCAACGTCGAAGAAGACATGATGCCACAAGAGCTTCCTCCACAAGAGTTTGAGGTGGAAGAGACTGGGGAGCAGGAAACAGAGCCCTGCGCCTGTGAGGCTCCCAGTAAGACCCATCAAGAGGGCGAAATGGGGGACATAAATAGCCATGAGCAGGGTGAAAACTACCAGGGCACATCTGAGGGTGAGTCCCCAGGATTTGAGCCGCCCGTCACCCCCATAGCAGTTGGGGAAGAAAGCCCTGTTTCCATCTTGGAAAAGGGACCGCTCCAGGACTTCTACAGCTGCAAAGAACGGCAAGGGGTACGAGAGCAAGGCTTTGGCCACCAAGAAAATGTTGACTACTGCCCTAATGGTGGATGGCAAGTTGTCTGTAATGACCTCCTTGGTCTCATCAGCCCAGGTCAGGTAGGCGACCAAGGCAAAGAGTCCCTTAAGGATGCAAGCTGCGATGTGAGTCCAGTTCATCATGCAATGGAACTCCTTGGGGTTCTGCATGTTCCCCTCCAAGGAAGGCAGAAAGATCTGGGAGGTGTAGCTGAAGACAATGATGCCAATGGAGATGGGAAACTTCTTGACATCAATGTAAAACTTGACTTTGTCCCAGGCCCAGTCGCGTGCCCTGGAGAGGCAGTAGGCGATCACCAGGATGTTGATGACAAAGTGGGCTAACGTGCAGAGCAAGCTGAACTTGGAGACTGCCTTGAGGTTCTTCAAGAACGCGCAAGGCAGGAGCACTGCCGTGGCAATGATGGACCACGACTTCTGGGAGACGGGCAGGTTGGGGAAGCTGTTGTACATCAGGTTCCCACTGACCACCACATAGAGGATGCAGGTCATGACCAGTTCAATGATCTGAGCCACGTTGACAATTCTGCCCCCGAGCGTGGGGAAGCGGGGCGCGCAGCACGCGTTCGCGATGTCCACGTAGGAGTCTCTCACCCTGACTATCTCCCCATCCTCATTCTCTTCGTAAAGACAGGCAATAAGGATTTTCCCAGTGTAGCAGCAAACCACTGCAGCGAAAATTATTAAAAAGAGTCCTAGGTATCCACCGTGAAGGATGGCATAGGGCAGGCCCAGAACAAACATCCCCTAGAAAGA